TTAATGTGAGGAGAGCAACGGGCAGGAGAACAAGAAAGTACTAGGCTTTTCGTTTTAGTTGCTTTCACACGCATGCCGGTCACGTCGCACTCGGCTACGAACCTTTCTAAGGAGCACTGGAGATCAGATTCAGAAGATGCTAATAAAACAAAATCGTCTGCAAACATCAACCTTCTCGACTTAACATCATTCATACCGATACCCCCATTGCCTTGGCAGCTCCTCACTATTCTATCCATGTACAACACAAACAGGATAGGGGACAGGACGCAGCCTTGGCGGAGACCAGTGCGAACGTTGCATGGTTTCGACTTAACGCCATTAACTCTGACACAGCACCTGATATCAAAATACAATGACTGGACGGCCCTCAGCAACTTGCCATCAATCCTGTATGCACGAAGGCATGTCCACAGACCGTTGCGTGGGATCCGGTCACACGCTTTCTCTAGGTCCACAAAACACATGTACACCGGCAGGGCTTACTCCCACGATTTCTCAACAATCTGGCGCAGGGCAAATATATGGTCAGAGGTGCCTCGACCAGGCCGGAAGCCACACTGCTCTTCTTGAATCTTGACATCAACTATTTCACGCCACATCCTTTCTAACACCTTTGCGTAGACTTTACCAGGGAGGCCCAATAACGTTATGCCCCTATAATTGGAGCATTCCTTGTGGTCTCCCTTCTTGAATACGGGCCTAATAACTCCCGTTTTCCGTCCGCTGGTGTCTTTTCCGCAGTCATCGTAGTTTGACAAGCACGAGTTAGCCAGCACATGGCATTTTCGCCTGATGCCCTGAGCATCTCAGGGCGGATTTCGTCAATTCCGGCAGTTTTTCCATTTTTCAAGTTTTTCACAGCCTGTGCAATTTCATCTAGAGGGATGGTAATATCCGTACCCATCTGCTCTACAGGCGAGTCTTCCTGCTGTTGCGCGGGGTTAAAGAGTCCCTCAAAGTACTCCCTCCACCGCTGAAGAATGTCATCATCCTTGGTAAGTGGGTGTCCAGATCTGTCCTTCAAGACTCTGAGACTACCTGTCTTTTCACATGAAGCCGGCGAATGGTCTGCCAGAATA